GCGAACATTGGAACGGGATAATATGGAAGTGAAAATCGACAGTCGACAGTTACATCATCTTCGCTTTGCTGATGACATCGTCCTTATAACACCATACATTAGCCAAGCGGAACGTACGGTTGCCGACTTTGATAGAGCCTGTGGAAAGATTGGTCTTCGACAAATCTCACAAAAACGATGTTTTTGAGGAACGGATTGATTTCGTATACCCCATTCACGCTCAACGGAAGGAATGTCTCCGAGTGCTCCACTTGAGTTTGTCTAGGTCGGGAAATCAATATGATGAACGACTTAGCTCCAGAGCTGAGCAGAAGGAGACGAGCGGCTTGGGGAGCTTCCAGGGACATCGAGGATGTAGTGACGAGAACAAAGAACACCCGACTCCGTGCCCACCTCTTCGACTCATGGGTACTTTCTGCCCTACTGTAAGCGCCAGCCAGAAACCTGGACGCTGCGTAAGCAGGATGAAAGATCACTCAGCGTTATTGAACGCGCAGTCGAAAGGTCGATGCTAGAAGTATCCCGTTCCGCACAAGTAAGGGTTGGGATCCGAAGCTCCGATCTGCGTCAACGACCAAAAATCAAAGATGCCATTCTGCACGCCAAATAGTCGAAGATAAGGTGGACGGATACGTAATGCATATGAATGACAACCGATGGAGAAGAGCCGTTAGTGACTGAATTCCTCGGGATGTCAAGCATACTGCAGGAAGACCACCGACCAGATGGACAGAGTTCTTCACAAGGACCCTTGAGGAAAGATATGATGCTCGACGAGTCTCTAGAGCGAGCAGAACCCACTGGGCTACCCTTGCACGCGACAGGGAAAATGGAAGATTTACTGGCGTCCGCTCGAGTCACTCGATGATCAACGGGACTACAGGTTGTACAGGTAATAAGTTACTGTAATCGACAGAATCGATTAGGAGTACAATGGGCCTATTTGGCGCCTTCATCTCAGTGCTATGGAAGGCAAAAATATTAAAGGAAAGGAAAGAGCGAGGATCATGAGGAAAAGAGGCAGTAGCGTTTGGAACCTCGCATCATGGAAAAGTAATAGTAAGCCCGCCGTGACTTTGTCAAATACAGGACTAAGAGGATTATCCTTTGGCGCCCAGAAGAAATAGACCTGCATCCAGAATAGCAGTATACAATATCATCCATGATTTCGTCTCGCTTATACATCAGTGAAAGTACATGGCTTTGCAATCGAAAGGGTTCTATATTCGAAACTTTTAGCTGATATCTTGGTAAAAAGTCACATGACACGCGGTCCAGAAGGAATTAATGCTGAACGTCTGCCGAATCTACGCCAGCCTTCGTCAACACATTAGCTCGGCTTTTCACGCCCATTTATTAGGATGCAACGTCTACAGTCAATGGAAGATAGCAGAACCGTGTTGTTGCGCCGAAAATGATAGCCATTCGATAACGTTACCTATCATCTAATGTAGAGGTTGTCTGTCACCTGAGAACTCCCTGTCAATAGTTCCCAGAATCGACTTTCTATTAACCTCGCCATTGGGATATGAATGCGTCGTTTTCTTGTTTAGCAGTCGTGAAGTTATTATACACCATACATCCACTTCCATAGAAAAACACACAATACAGTACAACAGTAGCTGACGTTTCGGCAGTATTGCATCCTTTAGAGACTGGAAGAGTATACTGATGTACAATCTACTAGGCAAAACGCTTCAATGACACTTACAAAAAGACGAAAAACTCTATGATAATTACATGATTAACAGCTCGAAAAACTCACCGCTTTTTATGTGAATTCCAATGAGGAAGATTAGAACAGAGCGGTGAGCTTTTCGAGAAGCTGTTGATAGTGTAATTACCATAGACTTTTTCATCTTTTTGTGTGTGTTATTGCGTTTGGCCTAGTAAATTGTACATCAGTATACGCTTCTGTGCTCTGAACAAGGCGATACTGCCGAAACATCAGCTACTGTTGTATTGTACTGTGTGCCTTTCTATGGAAGTAAATGAGTAAATGTATGCTGTACAACAACCTCGCGATTGCTGAACAAGAAAACGACGCATTCTTCTGTCATTCTACTTATTTGATACGTGATAGTTACATGGCCCGTCCTCACTGGTTGAGCGGGCCCCAGCGTAATCTCCAATTTTCGAAGATAAGTTATTATGGTTCCCTGCAGTCTCGAGGTCAGCCTGGCCAAAGTCTGCCCCAGTTCGTCACCACGACAAGCAGTCATAGCCCTTTGGGTCAGAGGGTGGTTTAGCACCATGTGACTTTGATACCAAGACGGTGGTGGATCTTGGTATTGCTTTACTCTTGGCTAGGCTTCCTGAAGGAAACGCCGGACTCCTTTTCAGCTAGGGAGACCCTGCCATGGAGACGAATCTCACCGCTGTACATCGCAGCCCGACACCCAGGAACATCTCTCAACAACGATGAAGTCGAAATCGAGAGAAAAAACTGTGAAAAAAAATAATCATTTTTAATCAGCTGGTCTAACTACAGTAAATTACAAATATTTTACACATATAGCATTCTGAATTATAACTTTCGTTTTGATAAAAAGCCGTTTTTCATGAACAAGATAGTGATCAAGTGCCATTTGTATATATTGGTTAAAGGAACACATTTAGCTTTTTCTTCCTCCTTCTTTCAGGATTTTCAAACCACCGATCAGAAGTATCTCGCTTTTGTTTTCACTTATCAGCTTCTGTTATTCTGAATCAGGGGGCATTTAGCCAGCAGTCCGGGGTACCTTGCAACGCACATGCGGTGCCTCGTTCAACGGTGCGAGCTAAACAGTGTCTCCAGCACTGCGAAATGGACATATTGGTGACATCCTTCTGCGAGAAAATAAAAACGCGGATTTCGCACACCGAAATTCCACAACCTGTTGTTGTACAGATATGCATTCAAAAACCGCTGGGATTTTTAAGTGAATGGCGGCAAGCTTAATTAATGGACGACCCTTTTACGCTTTGATACTTCCTTTATCTGGTTTTAACACTTCTTTCCTAAGAAATGTGGTAATAAGTGGTCAAATATTATTCAACTTATGGTTACGATGATTAAGATGCAGCTACTTGTAATCCTTTTTGACTGGAGTGCATCAGATCTTGTCAAGTAGTCGACAACCGGTCTATCAAGCTCTAAATTTTTTGCATGAGCACTTGAACGATGCAGCCAGTGATGACTGCACTTAACTGTGCCTCTTGAAATACACTTACAATTCTAAACTGCTTATGTTTCCCTTCGTCGTTGTTTCTCCTTGACTGCTGTATAATATCTCAGTTGGTCTGAGAATTTGCGTGTTTTAAATTTTTCCACTATTCATCGGTTTAAGCCGAAAGATTGAGTCCTTGCCGAATATTTACTTAGCTACTCTTTAATACTCGCTGATTAGACAATGTTATTGATGAATTCTCATTGTGATCATTTCTACAGCTAAGGCTTAGAATCACTCCAGAAAATGTTTCATAGGTTGCATGCTGTTTTTTTCGCTCTCTGATCGCTGCTTAATACACGCTTCTTTTCATTAGAATATGTTCGAGTTCATGAATTTCCGCATCTGGATTGACGACCGTTACCTAATTGAAGCTGTGTCGGACTCATTTTCCTACACTGGCGGAGTGACCGCCGATCTTCACACGTCATAAAGTGAATGTGAATTACATAGCGCATGAGACGAAAAGTTTTCATATTATTTACCACATCGGTGTGCATGCTGTCATATATGTTGCTAAAGTCGACTTTATCCTGTAAAGTAACTCATCATTTTATTTAATCTCAGTATATTTCAGAAGATGATGCAGTTTTAAGCATGTGATGTCCGGCAAAAAACTCTTGCGACGCTTTTCATCGAGCATATCTGGTAAGTTGTGTAGCCATAATTTTGCAGGATACCAAGTACCAAAATACAGAAAAGTCAGAAAAGAGAAAGGAAGGAAGTGAAAAAGTGAAATTGACTTTAATTTGGCAAGGTCACTACGTTTTTTCATGAGAAATCATTTTTTTACACTACTATAGTTGAGCAAAAATTCTACACAACTGCAGAAAAAAGTGGTGAGCTATTTGAGCTGTTGCTGCAGAAACATTTTTTCTCGATTTGATAAACAATCTTGTATGTGAATTTTCAACATAAATGAAACACCATTCGAACGCAGCTGTCCGCTTTGCATCTCATTTCGTCAGTGATGGCTTCATATTGCGCGCAAAGTGAATGACTTCAGTGATCAGTAATTATTTTACGAGTGTTAACGTTAAAGAGGGTATCTACGCCACCCTTAATTTCTCGGTAGAACTGTTTCTATCAATCATATCTGACCATTGTTATGTCAGCTGTATTCTCTTACGTTCTCCTCGTTCTCCTTTACTATGTCATCCTCAGTGTGATTAAATTTGGTAAGTTTGTCGACCTATAATAATATCGTCACTGAAAAGCAAATTAAAAGTGCTATACACTTCCAAGTGAGAATGACAAAGTGATAGTGACCCCGATCACCACGAACACGGTACTGCTTCGATCCCACACAGGGTTCATCAAGCCTCTCATTCCTCAGGGGTCGCGAAATTGGTACCGGAATTGTCGGGGAAAAAACACTCTGTACAGTCTGGTTGAGAACGTTCCATCTTGGCTATCTAAGGACTCCAGGAAGAGTCCACGCGACCAGTTGTTACGACATTCGAGATGGAAAAGAAGTCCTCAAAAATCAGCTGAAGCCACGCGTAAAGCTTAGAAGACTTTCCGTATGTGATGGATGCGGGAAATGAATCGAATGTGAGAAGTGGTTGAATCCGCACAGTACATGTGAAGACGAGTTGTATAAAAATTTTAAAAATGCACTTCCAATAAACCATTGTTTTCGAGTACTGTGCGCATCACAACTATTATAGTCGAATAAACCCTTACAGGAGAAGATTCAACACTTTTAAGGTTGAAACATGCTAGGTTCCATTTTCCACAACTTATTGTAGAGCTTCTTCAAAAAATTCGGAAGATTTTTGAGGAAAAAGTATGGAAAAATCTTACTGTTGCTTCTTTTTGATCCAACGAGCAAGCAGATCTGTTTTTGACTTTGTTTAGATTTGTTCGCAATCCAAAAGAGGCGAAATCTAGATGAAAACGAAACGTGAGTTTGCATTCCTTTCATTAAAACTTTTAACCTTTTGACTTCTTCTTAGCCAAAATTACTTTCTTATCGAAAGAATGTTTTTAGTGGTACAGTGCTTCATCAGGCCGTACAGATGGGAAATGCCGTAATGGCAAAAAGCCTTTTGGACATGGAGTCGGTGTGGATAGATGAAGAAGATGGAAAAGGTAAGATGAACAAAGCGAACAGAGTCACGTACTTTTTAACAGGTTTTACTCTAAATAGAGGAAATTTGACAAATAATGGATCAATGGAGCATGATTTAACCAGATTGAAATGCGAGAAGACTCATCTTGAAGTATCCAATAATGCCTTTGGTTCACAGAGTTTCGATTGATGTAAAGGCCACTACTATTTCGAATAGCTCCTTATCATTAAAACGCCTTTTGGCAGCACTGATATAGTTTAATATATTAACCCAAGGATAAGGTCTTTACATTAATCTGTTACTACATAAACTTCATTCATGCTTTAATTCATCGCTGATTTATACAAACACGACGCTTACTGCTTAGAACGTTTGAAATTCTACACATAGTCATTTCACTCTCGTATAGTCTTAAATAAAAGGCCGGACAGCTCTTCATTATTCGATGGAGCAGGACTCATTCGACGTGGTGAAGGTGCTGGTAACTGCAGGAGCAAATCTGGATTGCGTGGATATTCATGGAATCTCCGGCTGTCATTTGGCATGCAAAGAAGGAAGAATAAATGCGGTGCGTTTTTGCTGAAAGAACCTACTTTTATTAGTTTGTAACTACGAACTCCATTTTAGCTCTTTTTCTTTTTGTTTCTTTTCTTACCCTATAGAGTTTTTTTTAGTAAATATAGCTTCCATATCGCATATTTAAGATGTTATCATAGTTTAAAGGGCGGCAAGAAGTATATCAGGAATACGGAGTGGTAAGACGATAGTGGCATTGTAATGGCACTACCTCATTGACTGAACCATTCGTATTGCCAACATTCACTAGGAAGAATTGGGAAGCATGGATTAACAACTAAACGCATGCAAAATTCTGCTTCGTAATGAAATCACTACAAAATCGGATGCGTTTTTCCATTTCACGCTACCATATCATGCAAACATTGACACAAAGTGTGCAAATAACACGTGGCAACATAACGTAACACCTGGAAAAGTGCTTTTGGCTTTTTTTGTCAAATATATTGTTCTAATACAAAGCACAGCAGAGTCTCAAACACTATCATCACTAGAATGAGAGAAAACTGTGTTCAGGACATCATAAGTTTTTCTACAACGAAATACACGCAGCGAATTCTGTGTCATGTCTTGAGACGTTCGCTTTGAAGCCACCAGTCATATACAATGTTAGCCAGCTACAAAATCCATTTTCTTATATGCCAATCTTCTGTCCTTCAGCTTACACCGTACTCTTATGTGACAGCTCGGCTATCGTTGACGATTGTTCGTTCATAGCATTATTGCACTTTTAAGAAGAGTTCGAAAAATTCATAATACGAAACTAATAGATATGTCATTCGTGTGGTTCAAGTCAGTCTAAATGGTTCTCGACTGAACGACGTATGTCATATTTTTCGCAGTTCATTGACGCTGGCAGCAAGTATTTCTGATTTTAGTTCGAGTTGTTGATGCTGCATCAGGCGGACGTGTTCTGTATTGACAACGCCGGCAAGACACCGTTCGATATCGCATGCGAATTTGGCAAGCAAAAGGTTCATCAGAGTAACTTTACGATGTCAACACATTTTTATATTATCCAACTGGTACAAGATTGTTATAAACTTCTCAAGACCTTTAATGTGGTTCTCAATTCCAAATTTGTTTGTCGTTTCGGAATCACACTAAATGAGGATTTTCTCAGGGACCCGTTCATTCATTCACCGTTGGTTTCAACATGGTCTCTTCTGTTTTTTTTTCTCGATATCTTCTAATTCTAACTACTGTGGTAAATTTCCGTGCAAGGCTGTCAAAATTTTTATGATCACTCTATTGCCAATACTAGATTTTGACGGACTTTGCTGCAATAAATTTACTACACGACCAATTTCACTGAGGTCATCAATGAGTAGAGTGTAGGGAAATTGTCAGAACAATCATTACACCTGACGTTTTTGTTTTCTCATTAATCAATTTTTTCTATCTAAGTATTGGAGAAAGTTTTAACTTTATCTTATAATATCTTTGACAGATGGTCGAGTACATGCTAGGTGCAATCGACAACTTTTCACTACTTCAACACGCAGGAGATGGTCACAAAGCATCTGCCTTACATTTGGCTGCACGAAACGGTCACACTCACGTAGGCTGAATCTTTTTTCAAACATATATCAGAGATAATTGATAGGTTACTAGGTTCTTCTAATGTTAAGTTAAGGCAGGGAAAGCGCAGTGTTTAGTAATGCTGTCGACCAGGAAGCAAAAGTTCGGTCCCCACTCAACGCCCTCGTCCAGTCCACGTGGAAACACCTTAACCTGGCTTTCTCCAAAATTTCCAGAAGAATTGACTCAGCCAGCATTCCACGACACTCATAAAGAAGTCAAAATCCTCAAGCAGTAGTTTAAACAACGCGCGAACTGTTCGATGACCGTTGCGAACGATGAACGATGAAAATGAATCAAATGCGAAGAGTGCTGGGATCCGCGCAATAGATCTGATAACAGTTCATGCGAAATAAGTGATAAAAAAAACATCAGGTTTACTAACATATACAGCGTACATCCGAAAAGATTTTTTTACCGCAGTATTAATAAGAAAAAAGATCTTGACGAGGATTTCAGCAAAAACGGGCAACGTTGACACTACTTGCTAAAAGAAGATTCAATTTAGATTGTATGCTTGTTACTAGAAAACGGTTGGGATGTGAATCGTATCACAGCTTCTGGAAGTGCACTCCATGAAGCGGCCGGTTATGGCAGAGCGCAAGTTGTGAGATTCCTGCTACATGTGAGTCTCTTTCAACAATTCCTGTTTTGTAATGTTGCGCCAGACGATTAATTAGTTGACTAAGTGATTTTACACTGGAATTTCTTTCAACCGTGGATATGAGCCTTCCTGCAGAGAATAAGTAGCATCGTACGTTTCACAATCTTAACCTTTTTATTTATTGCCTATTGTTTCTAACGGGCAGGGTAGGTTGCGAACTGGGTTCAATGCCGAGTTGGGCTCCCCAGATCAATCCCGTTAACGGGTGATTGCTGATGACAAAAAGATCGATAGAACTAACTGAGAGACAGGCGAAACGAAGGACCCGCATGGTATGGTGGTGAACGCGTTACGCCTCGGAAAGGACAGTGGCGCCGTTCGTTCCCCACCGCAGACACCTGCGGTCCGGAGTTTTGCAAATATCTCAGCACTATAGAAGTTGTACGTTTCGTCCACAATCATGTTTTCAATAGCGAAAGCAACCAGTTTTTTAGGCAGGAATAAATTCGTCACTGACGAACGCGACCGGCCTCACAGCGCTGGAGTACGCGAAAAAGAACGCAAATCGAAATCCCATCACATTCAAGGAGATACGCTTCTTACTTAAACGTAATATTTGGGAATATGCTACATTTTAAATAAAAACACTACTTCAGCATCTAACTAATTGTTTCATAAATCGTTATATTTGAAAAAGTGCATTTTTCCGAAGAGTGCTTCGTAAAGCAATTCTAAAAGCGTCTTCTCATGGGCACGCTACCCTTTATAAACCGCAAAATTTCCACACCTTGGACTTCGTTTGTTTCATCTATCAGTCTCGGGATCGCTTATTGGTATTTTCCTTTGCATAGAAATAAATCGAGACTAGGCTTAGTGCCTGCGAGAGGCCTTGGAATTTACACCTTGACCTAGCCGTAGCTTCGCTCCTCCACCATTAGCCTAGTCCAATAGGTCTCGTGGGCCGTCATCTAATCTCTTCTCACCTGCTGCCCATTTTGCTTGCAATGCAATCTCAAGTATAAATGCACATGTCTTACATTCCTATATTACGCGGTACACTATAATTATTCCTTATTAAATCATCTTTCTATTGCTAGCGAAGTTTGCTACACCTTTTCAGTACTCTTTTTCTCTTAACTTTCAAATTTTAGAAATTTCTGACTAACTTTTTCCTTTATGCGCTACCCCATTACTATACACGCTTTTGCTGTTTTTATTGTTATGTTTGCCATCTTACGGATCTACCTTATATAGGTCTTCTGTCGGTTCCGAAGGTATTTTGGTGCTGTCACTGTAGTGATGGTGGTGCTGTGTTAATTGCCGCTAGGAAGCGACATTATACTTAATCTTAGACGCAGGTGGAAGGACTCTTTGAATTTCTTGTCCATCTTGATGTAAGTAGACACATTCTTGCACAATCACATTTGCATGCTTACATTTGTGCACCATCGTACCGTACATGTTAATTCTGCTAAAAGCCGCTCCGAAATCAAATAATCGAGGAGTACACAGGCGGTGGTTCCGGTCGTTTTCAAAGAAATAATCCTACTTCTTGGAGTGAGACGCCTATCCATGGACACGGTGAAAACAGAGGGCATTGCGTGAAGAATGCTACGATTCTTGTGTTCTGTAATCGAGGCACGTAAGATTTGCTGGCGCACTATAAAATCTTTACGTAAATAGTAATCAGATAATCAGACAACTTATAATTAAACTTTAGACCATCGCCTTTATGGCCCATTCTTCAGTTGTTATTCGAGTCATTCGAACAGGTGCCAGTAAAGCCTTCCTTTGTCTATGTCGCGTCCTAGTGTAGCTTGCTTGGTTCTCTCCTCTGTGCGTACCAGCTGAGCATCCTTTCTATACAACCTTCGTGAAGAATTTTAATCTAGTCGGTTTTGTTCATGCCGTGTGCTTGATATCTTGAGGAACTCATTCACTAAATGTTTCTGCCCACCGGTTATCACTGAAATGCATTGCGTATCCGGCTCTCCTGACCTCGGAAATTAGAGCATGTGTGACGGCGCCTCTGATATTCTATTGATCAAGTGCCTAGTGGAACATCGAATCCTTTCTCTCACTCGCGTTGTACTGAATACTTCGACCATCACCTCTCAACCGCCACTTTATTAAGCGAATTGAATGAATGTTCGTCATACTGCTAATGTAACGCCCCGGTTTTTGAAGGCATGTCGAGACATAAAAAATCGCATCATCGAGGAGCTAGCCATGGAGTTTTGTGTTCCATGTCCTTTACTACTTCGTCGATAATATTCTGTGTTCGTTGAGCCAGTGGCTTCCTCGTACTCTACGCGAGGTCATCCATAATTTTAACTTCCTGAACCATATATACATGGCTGAATTATTCAGTGAAAATCATTCTGTTTACTGTGAAAAGGCTTTAGAAACATCTCCGTTTTTCGTGAACAACTCTTCAATTCAATCAAAGATCATTTGTTTCGCATGCCCTCGAAATCGGACAACATTCGTTACGCCTGGCTAATGGCTGATATTATTACGACGTTGGAATAATTATTAACAAAGCAACTGAGGTGCAGTTGCCCGCTATCGATTTCCATTTTATGTTGCCCTAATCTATCTTTCGCATGTTCTTGAAAGAGAATGTTAATAATTATGATGACATGGTATCGTCTTGCTAAACTCTTCTCTTTACATGTGTTTAAACTATTGATCGTACAAGAGCTTGAGAAATAGATTTATTCGGCTAACGTTTCGAAGTCTTTATCTTCATCAGAGCTGATGATCCGCTTCGGTAGTCCACAGTTGTTCTTCATCTCGATATGGCTTCTTCGTAGTCTTACCAAGACGGGATCTTCTTCAGTGACCACCGCACGAATGAGCCATACTCACCCAGCTATGCTCTTTCATTCAGGGCAGTTGTTGTTGATATAATTATCCGCTGATAATATTTTGTTTTTCTACGGATAATCCACTCAGCAGCAGTTGATACCATGTTAGCTGGCACACAGCGAATAGCAAAACAATTTTTAAACCGGCCGTCATTTAACCTCTGTAGCATAACAGTCAATATTTCTTTTTTTTACAACCCATTGTATGTCTTTGTATCTACATTACGGAGAAATGCTGTGCTATAGTTCATGAAGGTTCTTTATGTGTTCGATAGGGGCACCCCAGTTACCACGCGCTTTCATTAACATTTCAGTCCAAGAGATCTCTCGTATTCAATCTTCTCTTGAAATAGGTTCACCTTCGTGCTAATTCGTTTGATTTTTCTGAATCCTCTTTAAGACCTGACGTTTTTAAAATAATTTAGATAGAGAATTTGTAAATGAAAGACAGCCGACAAGTTGGCTGGCGTTTGCCAATGCCGTATGGGTCTTTATTCTTCACGGTTCTGCTGGTCCTCCGTTGACATATCTTTTTTTTATTTTACATGGCCCTACCTCACACGTGGTATTGGATCTAAGCAATTCCTGCATTAGATTCAGCCTTCTAAATAGCTGTAAAAGATTGATCCAGTGTGTTGCTAATTATGGCGGCTGAGTCTTTTTATAATTCTATCTGGACTGTGTGTTGTGCTGCTTTTCATCGACGACGTACCATTTAAATTCACAATGTGTAGAACCATTCGGACTGCAAATCCATCTTCTTTGATCTGATATTGAAGTAAATAAGTGTTACCTTGGAAAAGATCAAAGATGTGTATGAACTTCCATATACTGTCATTCTGGATGCAAAACTATTTTTTCTGGGCTCCAAAGAGTATTCAACTTAATCTTATATTAAGCATAACCGATGAGTGCTTTGCAAGCAGGACGAGTGTTTCTTGCACCAACCATTTTTGACGACCTTAAGACTCTTTTTCTTAGCACTAATTTAAAGGTATGGAACATGCCAGTGGTATTCTTCATCAAAATTTTCGACAAAGCATTTACTCAAATACCGAAATATGGACTTACAGTGCTTTCAGGGTTTCGTTTGTTGGCTTTTCCACCTTTCCGTTCTTTTTGCAAAAAGGTGGATCTTTCAAAAACGAAGCAACAGTGCGATCCTCTTTGTTATTGTGGGTTAAAATATACGCTGACTTAGCATAACCTTTGATCTGTTCTGATGTGGCTTATTTCATTAAGGCGCTCTCCATTGAGAAACTTCCAGATTTGAAGTTGTGGATTTATGAGTTACTATTCATGGCCTTGCTCATCGTGATGAACAAACATGGGCATCCATTTTGTTCGCTCTATTCGAGTCCGTGGATCTCGATGTGGAATTTTTCAATCGTTCTCCTAAATTCAGTCTTCAATCGCATGATTCTTTTAGCGAAGGTATGGTCTTCTCTGCTGGCTCTTTTGCAGACCTATAGAGATCGCTTCGACTTCGTCTTCATCTTAACTTGATGTGAGGGCATAGACAGCAAAGCTGGTAGCGCCGGCACGTGTCTATGTTTCTTCAACCGAAAGCGTTTTAATCGGGTTGTTAATTGTTCAAAAGAGTCAATGTTCATGATTAAACTCGTGTGACGGCGGCTCTAACCCCGCAGATCCACCAATGTTTCCTAAAAATAATTCTTGTCCAGGGCCATGGATGACGTTAAAATACTAACGTTTTCATTTCATATTTACTCCAGTGACGTGGTACCTTCTCAACCTGCATATCATCGAATCTTTAGTGCAGAACTCGTAAGCTAATATACGTGCTTCATAAACTCAAATGCCACCTTAGTCCTTCCAGGTTCAAAAACCTAGAATGGCCTTCGAATTTTACAGGTTTATTCCTGTTCGGTCTATCCAACGATTCCATATTGTATGCTTTTTCGCGTTTAGGCCCATTTATTTTAATGTGTTTGGTTATTCATACCAATGAGAATCGCTTTGCGGATCGGATCGCGGTGCTCTTTCGCAGTTGACGGTCATATACATGCGTCTCTCTCAGAGTAAATGAGGAATTTATGTATTGGAAATAACCGTTGACCACACGCCATGCGCCTCCCAGTTGCAAAGTGATCGAGGGAATAGCGAACAATGATACAATCCACACGTGGGCGAACACAACGAAGCACTGTTGCTTGACTATGTCCGAAAAAAGTATCCTTAAATCCGGCGGAGCAAAAAAGGAATTCATTTTTTCAATTGCATTTTTCAGGCAAATACAACATCGTTTTTAGTCTACGCTTGTCCTTTCTCCTGGAGACGCGCCACTTAGCTGACGACTAACCGGTTGGAATACCTCACTGATGGAGATCCGTGATTTACGAATTAGAGCACGCTTAGCAGGTGCCCTGCGGCGCACGTAGTAGCTGGGTCAATCGCACGCCTTATACTTACCAAATCCCAAATTCGTCGAGGTTCGGAAACTTAATTCCAGACTTTTCCGACAGCACGAAAATACTTATTTCCGTTATCGATACCTATCTCTCAGGCCCTTAATGATGGAATTACACCACAATTACCTCTACGACTCTTAATAGATTCTAATGCATGGCGCATCCCTAAGAGATAAGACGAAAGGTCCTTCTATCACTAATAGCTCCTGTGTACCCTGGGTGGCTGCCTCCATCCAGCCATATTGTGTGGCTGGATAAGACAGGAACCATAGAGCAACCACGTAATAGAGATTTTTCCTTCTAGACTCAATTCGTGCAATTTTTTGCAAGTCCTAT